GGAGTATTTGGAAAATAAGAATGCAGCTCTCTTGAAGTATGCAAGATGAGGGAATTATTTTCGTCGAACTCTTTACAGAAGAGCTCGTCTATGGATTTGACGACGATGCCGGATATCATGGCGAAAAAAAAAGAATCGCCTCTTATTACTACTAGTAATGAAAGCGTTTATAAGCGTCAATGTGAAGAAAGATCGAATAGCGCAGTGGTAATGATCCTGTTCATTACTCGGATAGGACCCGACCTATCCAAGTGCTAGTATGACGCATCCCTCCACGGTCGGGAGATTGGTACCAGACATGTCGGTTCTCAGTTTGCCATCTTCAGCCCACTTGAGAATTCTCTAGTACGGATCTCCCAGGACTCGAAGGAGATTCAACTCGATGTACCCGCAAAGACATTCATGGAGAGGACGAAGGAATTCTCAAGCAGATGTCGAAGTCATTCGCAAAAATGTTCAAAAACCTTCGATGAATAATGAATGAAATGAATAAAGTAGAAGAAGTGCTGTCATACACACAGTATAATGCTAGGCCATGTCGTTATAATAGTAATAATAATAATAACAATAATAATAAATAACGAATAATAATAATAATTCGTCGTTTTCTTTCTCAGCAATTGCGAGGTTGTTAAACACCATACGTTTCACTTCCATACAATAACACAAATACAGCAGAACGACTTCGTCAACCATATGCAACTCTGAGCGGCTGTTGTTCCTCGCTGGAAGACAGGTGAAAAAAGCGGCTCTGAAGAAGGCGATTCTGCTGAAACGTCAGCTAAGGTTGTGTTGTATGTGTGTTATTGTATGGAAGTAAACGTATGCTGTTGAACAACCTCGCGGTTGCTGAGAAAGAAAACGATTTTATAATCCAATGCCGAGGTTAACAGAAAGTCGGCCCTGGGAATAATAATAATAATAATAATATAAATCGTATAAAATGCTGAGATATTTGCAAAACTCCGGACCACAGGTGTATGCAATGGAGAACGAACACGTGCTGTTCTCCTTACCGGGGAGCAGCGCACTTCACCACTACACCATTCGGGTCCCGGTAAGGACAACAGCGCGTGTTCGTTCTCCATTGCATACACCTGTGGTCCGGAGCTTTGCAAATATCTCAGCATTTCATACGAGTTATATTTCGCAACATACCCTGCCAATAAGAAGAAAAAGGCAGTAAATAAAAGAGTTAAAATAATAATAATAATAATAATAATAACGACGATTTTCATCATTATTATTATTACAAATAATAGTAAAGAATTTGAAGAAAAGTCAAGAAGAAAGTAAATGTGCTGGGAAATTGAGCAATCTAAACTATTACTACTTTTCTCTAGCTTTTGTTTTCTTGTGGCCTGCTGTGCGATGTTCGTTTGCATGGGATTCTTTGAGAACGACGACCTTCGTCTCTTTAATGTATGTTTTTTCGTCGCTTGATTAACTAATATTAAGGTTTCGATCGTTGTCTTTACTTTTAAGAGCGCTTAAAGATATAATTTGTTTAACAATTGATTGGTTAATTATAATTGCAACTATAATTGGCCATAGTGTGGTGGTGAACGCGTAAGTCCCTGGAAAGGGTAACAGCGCGTTCGTTCCCTAACGCAGACACTTGCGATCCGGTTTTTTGCAAATGTCTTATCAACATTGTGGTTGTATCGCACATAATACCCTGAGGTGAAAATTTGCAATAGGCAGTAAATAAAAAGTTAACATTTTGATTTCGACTATAGCCCCAGCTTAGCTGCCGTTCACTGCCGAATTGGGCTCCCCAGATCAATCCCGTTGACGGGTGATTGCTTATGGCACTGATCGATAGAACTAGCTGAGAGACAGGCGAGCGGGCTCGTTCCGCACCTCAGACACCTGCGGTCCAGTGTTTTGCAAATATCTCAGCATCATTGTAGTTATAATTGGTCGATTGATTAAAAAATTATCTCTAATCCAAAGAAAGTGTAGCCATAGCGCAGTGCTGCGCACTATTGCAGAGTATTCCGGTTGAACAAATGGTTTAAAATACTGAATAATTCGCTTCCATACAAGTTTCAACTAAGAAGATTGTAGCTATCGACCAATTTACTTGATGACTGTTTGCAGGGCCAATTTTTTGCCTGCATTTACGATTTTTCATTTGAATCGCCAGAGCCTTTTCAGAAATTGGCTTGGGGTTTTCGCCAGTTTCTGTTAAAATCCAGTTAAGCGTTTCATTTTAGTTCAGCAGCCATTCTATGAACAGATCTAAACACTGGAAAAGATTTGTTGTCGTTGAATCGAAGTTCGTTTCTATGCAAGTTTTACGTTCAGGCAATCCCAAATCTGAGGTACACTGCTAATTTTGGTGGGCAAAAAGTGCACTATACTCTCTAGTAAGTTTTCACTTGCTTACAGTTTGATGTTTACTTTATATACCTATACTGACTTTGGCGCGTGCGGCGCAGTGGTTGGAAGCGCCACTGCGACACACTGGTGGAATCGATTCCTGCGCCCATGGCCCACCAAGCTCTCCATCCCTCCGGGGTCGGCAAATTGGCACCAGATTTGTCTGGGAGGTTGGCAGCACTGGCTCGATGCATCGGTAAGCCACCGCGAATCATCATAAAGACCAGATATGCATTCAATCACCTCCAGCGATACTTAATGAAGTTGAATGCTTAGCGCATCCCTCAGGGATTGATCAACGCCGAGAGCTTTATCCTTTATACTTTTATACTGGTTTTGCGTAAAAGAAAAAACACTCGACACTGTTGATTCTCTAAGGCAAAACCTAGTGCATATGTCTTCATTAAGCATTGTTAGAGGTGATAGAATGCATATCTGGCCTACAGAATGACTCGCTGTAGTTTACCGATGTATCGATTCAGTGCTCCCATTCTCCCAGACAAGTCTGGTACCAATTCGCCAGCCCGAAGAGATAGAAGGTTTGATGGATCATGGGCTCGGGGATCGATTCTAAAAGATTCCAGTAGCAATTTTATGATCTCGCAAGGGTTTACTGAGTTGCCCAGTGGTGTGATCCAACCGACGACCATGTTTGTATTGCAGTGCATCTCTGACGATTGCGCTACGCATGCTCACTTTCTTTGCTCATCCCGTATAAATAAGTGGAGTGTGCCCTAGCAAAGCTTTTACTGATTTCTTATTTTGCTGCTTAAGCAAGTAGTTTTCCTTTCTCTCGCCACAGTTTTGTAGTAGTAAGGTCATGGACTTTCTAAGCCCTTAACACGGGTAACCCCACATGAAGGAAAGCTTGCCGATTTGCAACCATTTTCCTTCTAGAAGGATGGCGAGGCTTACATAGTTTTACCTTTTAACTGATCCCTTGGATATATGTGTTAAGCTCCTCAGTTTATGGGGCGTGCGGTGGATGAACCTTCTGCCGTACATTATGGTCCGACATTCAAAAATCTTTACTACAGTGATGTAGTAGACCATTTATTGGTTTTATGTTTTTATAAGCGTACAGAATAAATAAATTTAAATAAGAAAACAAATAGAAGAACACAAGAGCCTAGTTTTTTCCTTCCCTACCCTTTTTTTGTAAACTTCATAGATATTTGGATAAACGCTACCTGACCATTCTTCTTAAATACTGTTGGGCTTCTAAATTGCATATGTTACGAGAAGTTTTCAGTATGGAGTGGTGTATTTTATTTTAAAACATTACAGTGAGACATTCTACAAATGCAAGAATGGATATGCCTTTTTCGACTCCTTGAATGGATCCGATGTAATGGCCGCCAAGCAACTTCGTCAGGTGAGGAGCAGTTTTCAGCAATTTTATTCGTACTTTGAAAATATGTTCTTATACAACCAAAATGCGTTATGAATCACATTAATGTAAAACACCTAAAGCTCGTCTTTCGGCAACTTAAAGCAATTCCTCGACCATTAGGGTACTTTAGGGGTGGTGAGGTTCACAGGTCTATGCAGTGAGTTGGTAAATATTCGATTAAATGTTATTTATACGAGCGTTTTGCATACATTTACACGGCTTTGTCGCCTTCTCTTCGGAGTTCATCATTATTTTTTTCGAGGTTGCTTCTGATCTTAAAAATTGTCATGTACGTAACCGTTTTAGGGTGCTGTATTTCGACGTCACGGCATTTCACGTATAGTACGCAACTTCCATGTGGATAGGCTATTCAAGCAGTCCATCAGCAAAGCAATTCAGGCTTTCAAAGTGAGTTTATTTACAATAAAATATCTGTATTCAAGTCAAGACACATAATATGACGTATTGCTTGCTGGAATAATTTTACTTGTTTGGAGATCTAGATGGCCTTTCTACACTAGAGCTACACGCCTCGGCATATTTTCCATAACATTCCTTTCCTTTCTCTTTTCGCGCAAACGTCGTGAGTGGTGGTAGGCAGTTTCAAATATGGTCACATTTGCGAAGGTGCTTTCCATAATCCTGGAATCGTGCCCAGCTGCCACTGAAGGTGTTTGACGGTAGCCAAGAACACGTACGCGGCATCGTTTGGGTGATAGTCAAAAATGACGCTTGCATTCTCTTGGACTCCACTTCACTATTTTTTACATCTATCTATCAACTGTCCTCTCTGCTGTATGGATGGCCAACCTGTGCTTCACCAACAATGTGTATTCTCCAAAATGTCGAAGAAGGGATTTGTTCTGATATGAGGTGCTGGTTAAAGCTCAGAAAACATTGTTCAAGCACTCTGTGGGTGGTGCACAACATTTTCGAAGCAGCTCAACTGGGTTTCATAGCGAAAAAGGTTAGCGCACAATGAGGTCCAAATGCGGCCAATGCTGCTCTTTTTCTCCTGTCTATATCTCCTACATGCTTTTCTCTATTTCATGATCTAATATATAATCTATCAAAAAAGAGTACTTTACATGATTTTTAAAAAATAAACGACTTGGATTCTTAGGTTTTGTGCTAGTTGGCCAGTTGATTAGGGAGTTGATCGGGTTTATCTTTTATCAGCCAACTGTACGTGGAATGCTCGACTTTACATGAATTCGCCACGCGGGACTTTTCTCAGTAACTGCCTTGAACAGCCTCGAGTTTGGGTTATAACAGTTTATAGCAAAAACAGCAATACAATAATAATATGTGATATTTCACGATATGTATGCTGGGTGGATACGAGCGAGATTGAAATTAGAGCAAGTGATACATTTGAAAAAAGCTAGACGGGCACGAGTTGGAGCACTGAGGAATTGAGGGACTGGAAGATAAGCACTGGAGTTTGGAACCCACACACTGGCAGATTGGAAGACAGACACGAGTCTCTATGCCTGCTGGTGCTCCTTATATTCTGTCTGTAATGGGTGTGGTTTTATAGAGCCTGAGATAGTGCTGATTCAAGGCGTGACACGGTACGTGTGGAAAAGTACATCAGATAAGACGGTATGCCTGAGGCTTCGTTAACATAGAACTTTGTCAGATAGCGATGGAATAGCTCGTACAGAAAGGTTATATGAAAAGCGACGCAAAGGATTATCAAAAGGCCATGTGAAAGAGATGAAATGTACAAAGTTTGCACAAAGGCTTCTATAGAAAGTATATGTCGAAACGGTCTAAAGACTTATAGATTATGAATGGATAGATTTAAGATAAGTTATAAGTAGTTAGTATAAAAAACATGTGATATTATAGAGAATAGGAACTATTTAAGAAATAGTTACTATAGGTTTGGAATTACGTCCACCTATTCAGCATGTGAAATTCTGCTTTACTGTGCTGTGAAATTAGTTTCGTTAACACTCTACATTGATTACTAAGAGTGAGCTATCCAAGTGCTATTTAGGAAACGAACGAGGATCTCGTCGACCTTTTGCCACAGATCAGCAATATTAGATGGATTTCAAATAAGGATCGTGAGTGGAAAATTACTCAGTTAAAACTTACTACACTTGTGGGGTATTTCGAAATTTTCTCATTCTTAGTTGATTCTGTGCTGAATTGTCAGAAACTTATGTTTAGTTTGGAAGCTCATCACAGTCGCTCCCCTATTCCTAGCACGCATCGAAGATTTGATTGCTGAATTAGAAAAAGCTGAGAAAATGGTGGGAAGTGAAGTAAATTCAATGTAATAGAAATAATAACAAAATCACAAGCTACGGTTTAGGCTCATTTCGTGAGCGATTTCTTGGATCAAATAATTGGAAGGTTTTCATTTTAACTCGTGGTTTCTTATGGATTAGACGTGTTCATATGAAGTGATTTACAGGTTTACCTGAACAAAGTTGGAAGTTTTTATTTTCCTTTAATTTTTAGAACGACGCTTATTATTTACTGCCTACTCTTTTTAACGGCAGGGTATATTGCAAAATATAACTTCAAAGATGCTGAGATATTTGCAAAACTCCGAACCGCAGGTGCCTGCGGTGGCGAATGAACACGCTATCACCATTTCCGTGGGTCAACGCGTTCACCACCATACCATCCGGGTTCTTCGTTTCTCCTATCTCTCAACTAGCTTTCTAGTGATCACTGCCATCAACAGTCACCCGTCAACGGGATTGATCTGGGTAGTCCAAATCGGCAACGAACCCAGTTAAGCTGAAGCAGAATTCGAAATCGCAATGTGAACTTTTTGATTCACTGCATATTACTATTTTTCACAACAGGGTGATGTATGCGATGCAGCCACAATAGTTCTGAGATGAAACTAAAACTAAAAAAAAACTGGAAAAAGAAACTAGGAAACTAAAACTACAATTAGTTGAGAGACAGGCAAACGAAGGATTTGCATGGTGTATTGGTGAGCGCGTTAGTCCCCGGAATGGGTAATAGCGCGTTCGTTCTCCGCCACAGACACCTGCGGTCCAAATTTTTGCAAATATCTCAGTACCATTGTGGTTGTATCACATGCATTACCCTACCGTGAAAAATAATAATAGGCAGTAAATCAAAAAGTTAACACAAGTGAAGTGACGTAAGTTGTTTTTACTGGTTTTTTCCTATCTCTTTGCTTCCACTTCGAATGAAAGGCGAAAATGACTCAATGCTTTTGCGCTCTTTGTATTTGATAACCATACTTTATTTTGTGTTTTTTAAACATTTTCTTACCTTTACCTATTTTGTTCCAGCTGGAGAAGTTTGACGATTCTGACAACCGAGAACGTCTGTTCAGTGCAATAAAACGCAGTGAAGTCATGTTGCAAAATAGATTTCTTACAGCTATCTCAACTTTATTTGTGAGTAGTGTTCCTTGTTGGAAGTTTACAAGATTAAATCAGTATTATCGGAAAGTTGCAATCTTTTTCGCATCTCGAATGTGCTCGAAGCAGTGATTTGTGATTCTTGATGAAATTATGATCTCCCATTTGTGTCAAAATCGCATTTGTTGGTATACGGCGAAAATTTCTTTGCACATTTTTTTCATTTGTTATGAACAACAGTGACGAGTATAGCAACATTGCTGTGTTATTTATTATAATTAATATTATTATAATTAACAATCGCTTATTGTCTATAGGTCGGTCCTGGTATAGTAAAATTGCTGGAATGTTCGACGGTCACGTGGGGTGTTTTGGGCCTCTCATAACATCACATCTCAAACTCGAGTAAATCAATAGCGGGCTTTCTATACAGACTGCGGGTGGGCGGGGCATGTGGCTACACTTGGCTAGGAATCACTGTATATGCACATAAGTGCAACGCCCAAGAAGAGGAGACTGCAGGTATAGCACACATATGAGTGCTCTTGTTCTTGGCAGGGATAGCGTAGTGCTAGCATATTACAAAATCATAACAGTGATGAGAAATTTGCAAAACTTCGACCCTAAGGCGGATTCGAACACACGATTACCCCTCAAGAGGCTGACGTGTTACCCGCTACACTATTGAGACCTTTGCTTTTTCTATCTCTCAGCAGGTCAATTACGAAATCGTTACACGACCACTGATTATTACCTGTGGATGCAATTACTAGTTTCACTCAACCTCTGATTTTCGAAAGTTATCTTGTGAGGAACATAAGTGAACCAGTATGAGTTCAAAAAGTTGTCACTTGCAGAGAGTCGATCGGCCTAGAATATCTAAATCAAGGTGTGAGCGTTGTTTGCCACACCCTCCAATCGAAACTTATCTCATGCACGTAGCGAAGCTCTCAGCGAACCCATCAATAAAACAATAATGCTTTTCAATAGACTGGTGGAGAAATGAAATTTTTCAGAACGCTGTGGTAGACATATCGCCGCAGTGCAAAAACCTGATGGTGATTTGGAATCACCTCGGCAGTTATCTATGCTGTTGGATTACTGCACCTGCGCAAGCATTATGGTTGGCATGCAGTAAGTGATCTTAAGCATAACGTGCCCAATACTGCTTCAGTGAATGCTTTTACATGACCCGTCTTCAAATCTGATGCGCGCATCCCAATGCTTCCACTTCGACGAGTTTCCTCGCATTCACCGTCTACGAGGATCTTCAAACTTTTTTTGTGTCTGGGTTTGGGTTCGACTGTTGCTTGAAAACTTTGCCGCCTTAGATACAAATGTCGTTAAATGATTATCCTGTCTATTCTGCCCAGATTCCTTGGATTGGCAAGCTAGAGAGTTATCACTTGAATTGAAGGGACTGAAGTCTCTCCAGATGTATGTGAAGCCAATTTCCCGACCCTGGAGGGATGAGGGGTTAATGGGGACGGAGTAGGGTCCAACCACTGCCGTGCTCGTGATAAACGGAATCTCTGCTACTGTGTCACGCGCTGTCTTATTCCATATTTTCCAAAATAAACTGCTACCAGTTAAATATTTGAAGTCGGCCATGAAAGGTTATAGCAGTGGCTTAAGGTGTGAGAAGAATCACGTAGGCGAGCTGCTACTGACTGTGTTGTTAAACTGCCACAGTATCGATAATATTGTAATCTCAGTCATTAAGTAAACTGAGCAGAAACTAGACACAAAGTCGCATTTTCGGGGTGTTCACAAATGGATGGTGCCTTTCTTCACCGAATACTGACTATGTTTGGAGCTATCGCGTTTTACTTCTGGGCAAAAAACTCCTTTTCTACCTTCTTCACTAACAACTAGGGCAGTTTTCATGCTACTCTATCGCCACAGAAGCCAAACAATCATTAAGGAACACGTATCCTTCTATTTGCGCTGAAGAAACATCTCATCACCTTCCTCATTTTTGTCACTTCAGCATACACAGATATCTCTTTGCACTCTTCGCCAACAACATTCCTTATTTTAACAGGCGAATTAGCTCTAAAAAAGTTCTATTTTTGCCAGATATCAATTAGAGACTGGCGGAAGGTTTCCAGGTGTTCTGGTCTTATCCTTCGTGAGCTGTACAAAAATTTCACAACCAAGATATCACCATTCTACAACGATATTAACATTGATGTCAAAAGACAAAAGAGGAGTTAGGCAAGGCGATACCATCTCGTCAAAATTATTTACAGCCACCCTGGAGAACATCATGCGAACATTAGAATCGGACAACATGGGAGTGAAAATCGATGGTCGGCAGTTACACCATCTTCGCTTTGCTGATGACATCGTCCTTATAACACCAAACATTAGCCAGTCGGAAGGAATGCTTGCCGACTTTGATAAAGCCTGTGGAAAGATTGGTCTTGGATTAAATCTCACAAAACGATGTTCATGAAGAACGGATTGGTTTCGCATGCCCCATTCACGCTCAATGGAACGAATATCTCCGAATGCTCCAGTTATAACTATTTATGTAGGAAAATCAATATGATGAACGACCTAGCTCCAGAGCTGAGCAGAAGGAAACGAGCGGCATGCGAAGCTTTCAAGAGCATCGAGGATGTGGTGAAGAGGACCAAAAACACCCGACTCCGTGCCCACCTTTTGGTTTCAACGGTACTTCTTGCCCTAACGCATGCGCCAAAAACCTGGTCGCTGCGCAAGCAGGATGAAAGGCCACTCAGCGTTATCGAACGCGCAGTCGAAAGGACGATGCTATAGTATCGCGTTCCACACAAGTAAGGGATGGGATCCGGAGCTCCGATCTGCGTCAACGATCAACAACCAAGGATGCCGTTCTGTACGCCAAACAGTCGAAGATAAGGTGGTTCGGACAGGTAATGCGTATGAACGACAACCGATGGAAAAGAGCCGTTAGTGACTGGATTCCTCGCGATGTAAAACGTACTGCAGGAAAACCACCGACGATGGTCAGAGTTCGTCACGAAGAACTTGGAAGAGAAATATGATGCTCGACGAGTCCCTAGAACGAGCAGAGCCCACTGGGCTACTCTTGCACGCGACAGGGAAAAATGGAAGATTTACTGGCGCCCGCTCGAGTCACTCGACGATCAACGGGACTACAGGTGATACAGGTGATCAATTAGAGAACTAACTTTCTTTGGTTGCCGGTTGGGTTTTACTGCTGGAAGAGTGCCCAAATTTTAGCTCTTTCGAAGTTAAGCATAGCTTATTTGTTCGCTTTCCATGTATTTTCTACTTCCACGAAATCAAAATTTTTTTAAATAACTCGGCTTCGCATACAACATCGTGCCGAACCCAGCAGCGCTTCTTGAATTCGGTCAGTTTCATTGCACCCATTGTGCAAAAAAGTCTTCGAAATTTTTTTCGCTTGTGGGTTCGGCTGCTGCTTGAGGATTTATGAGCTTCATTATGGATGCCGTTGAATAGTGCTTGAGTTCATTCTCCCTGGAATCTGCCGATTGCCGGGCTAGAGCTTTCCACTTTGATTGCAGAGATTGAATAGTTCCTAGATATGTCTGCTTGGAATTAGGTCCACCACACTGCACCATTCTACTTAGCTCCAGTTAGTGATTTATGAGCTCGAGATGCTAGCATGAGAGATATCCGTGGCTCATAGCATAACCTGGACATTTTTATTTGACTACCGAGAATTATGGTTATGATTAAAAATACTCTTTACTATAAATATGAACATCTCCGAGCTATGTTGTGCATTTGGCGATTTCGGTAGAAACTGATAGCGCTTATAAAAATTTGAGTCGAGAACGGACTTTTTTCATTTTACTATGTTTTCAGTCATTTGTTCTATCGGATCATCGGCTATATATCACTCATTTTTCAACACCGGCAGATTTTTGCAAGATTTTGCTAAGTCGACCCAG